ACGTCTAGTTACTGGAGGATTCCAGGGCTGGAAGCAAGGCCTGGCTATGGAGATTATCCCTGTCCAAATACCTGCTCACAAAGCACTCTTCAAGAACCTTTGCATGGCTGGTGGGATGGCCCAGTGGGTGCTTGCAGTCAAGCCTGAGTTTGATCTTTGGAAAACTGACTCCTGTAAGTTGTCCTCTGACCTCCACATGTGTACTGTGACTCTTCGTCAATAAATACATGTAATAAAACTTGTAAGAATGTTCTTTTGATCTTCCTCCCTCCCAGCTTCCTCCTCCCATTCTAACATTTTTTCTTCCTCCTCTAATTTGAAAATTAAAAAAGAAAAAAACATCCCAGTGGTGGTGGCACACTGGGGAGGCGCAGGCAGGTGGATCTCTGTGAGGTCCAGCACAGCCTGGGCTACAAGTTCAAGGACAGCCTGGGCTACACAGAGAAACCCTGTCTCAAAAAAAAAAAAAAAAAAAAAAAAAAAAAGGAATTATTTGCTCTTCCAGATCATTTAATTCCTGGCCCCCGGGTAAGGTGACTCACGAACACCTGTAACTCCACCTCCAGATGATGTGTACCTCACACACGTGTCTTCACCTGTTGAGCCACTGGTCCCCAGGAAAGAGGGTCTGTGCATGACTACCCCTATTGATTTGGCTTTAAGGAAAGTCTGTCCCCTTCCCTGAAATCCAGACCTTGGTCCCTCAGGACCCATTGGATACATTTGACATCTCTATGAAGTTGGTACCTCCAGGACCCATTGGATACATTTGACTGTTTTGTGAAGTTGATCCATTCAGGAACTATTTGGATACATTTGACTGCTGTTCTATGATGTTGGTTCCTCCATGTTCTATCAGCTGCTCTATTTTCTCCGCTATAGAAAGCCAGAGTTTGTCCCAAATGGAGGGAACCACGGTGAGCTTGGTCAGCTGAATCCTCAATATATTCCTTTGTTGTTGTTTGAATTAAGACAAGGTCTCATATATTATCCAAGCTGGTTTCAAATTCCCAATTCTCCTGCCTCAACCTCCTCGGTGCTAAATTTAGAGGCACGAGCCACCACATCTGTTTTGGAACCTCCAAATCTTACCAGGAATGACTGTGTGACCTCAAATAAGTTACTTACCTTTGGCTTCAGGGTCTCCCTGAAGTTTGTTCGCTCTAGGGAGGTTGGCCCATGCCCACCGCAGCGGCCTCTCTGCCTTGTGTGAGGCCCCTCTGCTTTTTCTCACTTTGGCAAGCTAGTCCAGGGAAAGAGGCTCTGTGCAGTACACTCCTGTCTGAGATGAGAAAGGAGAGCAGCAAAAGTGTTTCCTTCCACAGAGTACCCATGGGGAGTTGCCTGAAAGTCAGAGGATCTGGCTTGTGGTCCCACCTTTGCCCCCAAAGTCCTTGACATCCACAGGCAAGTCCCTTCAACCTGTAGGCCTAGAATTCCTCATCTGTAAAGTGAGCCTAAGAGTGACAGACATGGTGGCACAGGCCTTCAATCCCAGCACTTGGGAGGCAGAGACAGGGCAATCTCTGTGAGTTGAAGGCCAGCATGGTGTACAAAACACTTCTAAGTTGGCCATAACTACACAATGATACTTTTTTTTTTTTTTTTTTAAAGAATGACTATTCAGGAGCTAGAGACTTGGCTTACCCATAGAACTCTTGCCCAGCACCCACCAGTGAGGTGCTGAGCTCAGGGTGTGGCTCAGCATGCCCTGGTCTGGCACATAGGAGGCCTACATTCTATTCCCAGCACTGGGGGGGGGGGAGGGGCGGGAACCCAAGCTACTAAAAAACTGTTCATTCAGTCTGTTTCACTGCTGTGAATAGACAAGGAATGGCTATTCAGCACTTTCAGAGGGTGGCCTGTGGACACGGGAAATATCTGTCCACCATGAGCTGACAAAGGATTCAAATCTGTTAGCCCAGCAGCAAACTCTACAGAGAGCAAGCAGAAACAGGCAAGAGGTGTGGACTGACATCTCACCAAAAGAAAGGTAAATAAGCATGTGGACTGGTGTCCAGCATCGTTAGCTATTAGGGAAAGATTCAGGAGACCAATGGCTGGGATGTGGCTGTGTGTTGGGGGCTTGCTTCACTGCACAAGGCCCTCAGTTTAATCCCCAGTACCACAGAAGGGAGGAGGAAAAAGAGAAGGAGGAAGAGGAAGAGGAGGAGGGGAAAGCTCAGGTTTCAAATGTAAATTTGAATGGCACAAACTGGAGCTGTGTAAGCCTGTGGGTTAACTTGGAGTTTCTCCATGGAAAAGTGGAAAGGGTTGGGGTTTTAAGCCAGGGAGACCCTGGTATAAATTTCAATCCAGCCTTGTGACCTTGGGAAAAATCATTTCTTCTCACTTTCTATATCCATGAAATGAACACAATACTATATGATTTAGGGTTGTGTTTGTTTGTGCTAATTTTTTAAAAAGATTTATTTATTTATTTATTTAATACGCAGTCAGTGTTTCGCCTGCATGTATGTCTGCACACCAGAAGAGGGCACCAGATCTCATTATAGATGGTTGTGAACCACCATGTGGTTACTGGGAATTGAACTCAGGACCTCTGATAGAGCAGCCAGTGCTCTTAACCTCTGAGCCATCTCTCCAGCCCTTATTTGTGTTATACTTAATTAACTAATTGATTATTATTATTTTTTTTAGGTAAAGTCTCCTTTTGAAGACCAGGCTGACCTCAGATTCACAGAGATCTTCCTGCCTCAGCCCTTGAGTACAAGTACACTTGTACTGGGAGTACAAGTTTAAGCCACCACTCCTGGCCTTAGAGGATACATTTACTGGACAATTTCAGATGATAAAGATATGTTCTGCCCTCCCAGACATTCTTCTTGAAGGGTGTAAACAGCCAGAGGCCTGGTGCTCACAGAAGGTGAGGCTTCTTTTTTTTTCCTCTACACCTGTGGGCATATGTGTCAGGCCTAAGAAGACACTAGGGGCTTCTTCAGGGCTCCCCACGGCCTCATTCCAAGAACACTAAGGCATAGCAAAAGCTGGGTGTCACTGGGCAGTGTACATGAGCGCCCTTGTCATGTGTAGGGAGCTGCTGCCTCACCATTTTGACAAATGGGGAAACTGAGGCTGAGCTGTCTACAGCAGGCTCAGCTGCCTGCTGAGTCAGGAGCCTGGCTAGCAGTTGTGGAATGCAGGAAAGCTGTAAGTCATGCTCAGCTGTGGTGCTGACTCCCCGGGTCTGTCAGCTACGCTCCATCATGGTGGAAGGCTGTGCCATGATTCACCCACACTCTGGGCACTGAAGTTACCTGGGTGGAGCTAAGCTGGAGCAGAGGCTCCTTGACACCTCAGACAGGTCTGTCCTGACTGTGACATCTGCCCACGTGGGGTGCATCTGTCATACTCAGGAAAATACACAAGCAGGTGCTGCAGGAGAGACAGACAGGGAAACTGAGGCTCAGGGAGGGAGGTGCCTAATGACCCGATGAGAAGGCAAACCAAAGATAGAGGATGGCTTTTGAGGAGCACTTTCTGGATGCCAGGCATTTAAACCTGCAGATGGCGGAAGACCTCGGACATGGGCAGATGTCAGCATAGTCGGGCTAAGATAGCCTGGGGATCACACAACTTCTGTGGATTGAGATGTCTGGCAAGGAGCCTGGGGACTTAGCAGTGTTTAAGAGGTTTCTGGGTGATTCTGTCTCTTGCTCCTTTAAGGAAGTGAGACATTATAAGAATAACCAAGTTAGTTGTTTGTTTTGGAGACAGAAACTCCCCACGCAGCTCAGGCTAGCCTGGAACCCAAGATCATCTTGACTAACTTGCTGAGGGCCAGTATTATAAGTGTGAACTACTATGCCCAGTTTAAGAATACCTAATTTAGTTTCACCTCCTCATATTGGCTTAAAAGGGGTCTTGAACTAGGTGGTAATGGTGTAGGCCTTTAATCCCAGCAGAGGGAGGCAGAGCTCTGTAAATTTGAGGCCAGCCTGGTCTACAGAGGACAGCCAGGGCTATTACACAGAGAAAACCTGTCTCAAAAAGCAAACAAACAAAATAGGGGTCTCGAAGTTTCTTCTTATATACTGCTCTTGGGAGGAGGGCCCATTGCTTAGCCTATCAATGTATTTCATTTCTAGCAAGTTCTTATTTGGTATGCATTAGGTATGGAGCTGAAGTGGCTGCCCGGGTGGACAACAGTGGAGGGCATGGCAGAAGCTAGGCAACAGTGATGGTGGTGGTAGACCTACATGGTGGCTGTGGAAGTGAGAGGGGGCTGGATTTGGGACAAACCAGAGGCTATCCAGTAGAATTTGCCTCACAGGCCAAGTGTATACTGAGTCGAGGGCTGGGACTGAGCTCAGGATGTGGGTGGCTCCTTTTCCAGAAAGTTCCTGGCTTTGCCTTTTGTCCCTGCTGACTGGTACTCTCCTGGACAGTGGCAGCACAGGGTGACTGGTGAGTGAGCACAAGACAGACGCGGCAGTTGTATGACGTTTCCTGTCCCTTGAAGACTCCGTTCCTACCCATCCTAGACAGCTGCTGCTCTCCTCATCTGCCCTAGCTTTCCGCCCCTCTCCATGGTCCCTGAGCTCCCTGTTCCTCTGTATGTAGATACCACTGCCGCCTCGGCTTCCAGAAGCAGGGATCATGACAGTGTCTTCTAACTTGTAGGGCAGGTCAGGACACATGGCTGGGGCCTGAATCAACCTCCTGAGCAAAGAGGGGTTGGCCCAAGACAAACTTTCCTGGGAGCTTGCCACAACCTATGGCGGCCCAACATGGTTGCCACTGGGGGCTTGAGGTTACAGTGTGATCCTGGGATCTGCAGCAATGCATACACCACCATCTGTGCCTGCTAGCATGCTGGGGGAAGAGGCAAGTCAGACAGGAAGGCCTGGGGGCTGATAGCACCACAGGAAGGAATGCCACAGCACTCCAGTGAGCCAGTGAGGCCCAGGGGCAACGTCATGGTTGCCCCGCCCTCTGCTTGTCAGGATGCCATGGCCTGTCCTTCCCCAGCCTGGCCACATTCACAATCAGCACACCGATTGCTCGCCTTGCTACTCACACGAGCCCAGGGACTCCAGGTAATGGGACATGGGACTGGTCAGGCAGAGGGGTAGGTGGGTGGTTTTAGGAGGATTGGGAGAAATAGTTGATCCTTAGGCTTGGCTCTGTGTGCTTCCTTAGGGGACTTGGGATAGAAGCCCAGCTCTGTATCTTCTGGGCAGCTGAGGCCCCTGGTCTCCACTGTGGATGAAGTAGGGCAGGATGAACCATCTGCCCCGAGGAGTTGTCCTCCAGCTTAGGCTTGCCCACAGCCCACGACCAGCTGGCTTATGTGGACTTTTAGAAAACCCTTGACCTCACTGAACCTCAGTTTCCCCATTTGGGAATGAAGGGTTTAGCTAAGTATTTATAGGCTTTTCCCACCCTGCTGTGGTGGAACCCTCCAGCTTAGGGATGCAAAGGCTCTCCGCCTCTGGCTTAGAGCAGGTAAAGCCATCCCATCCCCCCACTGCATGAGGGCCCAGCCAGGCTGGGAGACATGGTGGGAGGAAGCCTATGCTGAAAAGCACCTGAAAATGCTGACCACAGTGGGAGGGGAGAGGGGACGAGGCAGACCCTGCTCCTAAGCAGAGCCTTTCAGGGATGACCCCCCCCGGGGGGGGGCAGGGAGAGGGTGCTGGCAGACCCCAGAGAGCCAGTCCCACTCACCCCTCGGGGTCACTTCCCCCCATGGCAGCCATCCTCATCCAGTGGTCTCTGCCCAGAGCACCCTGCTTCTCAAACCTCCAGCAGGCCTTTCAAGGGGGCAGTGAGGTTATCTGAGAGGTTACTGTTTTCTTTTGGTCTGTTAAAAATTGCCCCCAGAGACTCCAGAGTCTGACCTAGAGCTTGGGAGCTCGTGCTAGGATAGGCATGGTGAAAAGTAACATGTGTGTGTGTGTGGGGGGGGGTCTTGTTTAGAGTCAAGCAAGATCTGTAAGGAATAGGACTAGATTCAGGGTGATTGTGGCTCTCGGCAATGTCTCCTGGGCTCTGAAATTCCCCTGAAGCTGCTTCTTCAGTGACTATCCTTGCTCTTTGTCTTTGTCTCTTTCTCTCTCCCTCCCTCCCTTCCTCTCTTCCTCTCTCCTTCTCTCCCCCAACTCATTCCTGAGACAGGGTTTCTCATCCCTGGCTGTCCTGGAATTTACTCTGTATATGAGACTGGCCTCGAACTCACAGAGATTCACCTGCCTCTGCCTTCCAAGTGCTGGGGTTAAAGGCATGTGCCACCATGCCCAGCAATCTTTCCCTTTTACAAGTCCCAGTTCTGAGGTTTCTCATAGCTCACTGAGTTATAAAACCTTGACTATCAAATATAAAACACTTTTTAGATAGAGATGGTGCTCCACAATGGGCACTTCCCCCATGAGAACTGATTGCCTTGACCCAATGGATGTAGCTAGGCATTTCAGACTCTGTAAAAAAATGTGTTTATTTATTTGTGGGTATGTATGGGGTACATGTGTGTGCATGCTATGGCATGAATGTGGAGATCAGAGGGCAGCTTTTGGGAGACCGTGCTCTCCTTCCACAGTGTGAGTCATGGCAAATGGAACTCAGTTGTCAGGTTTGCTGTCAAGTATTTACCTGCTGAGCCATCTTGCTAGCCCGTGGCTGGGCAATTCCCGTGCATGGAGTATGTGGTCCCTTCTGATTTGATGCTCACCCACACAGTACCAGACCACCCTCCCTTCCTCTGCAAGGCCGGATAGTTCTGTTTATGCCTTGTTTTGTGTATCCACTTACCAGTTGGGGATTTGTGCTGTTACCACTTCCCGGCTATTTCAAATGACGCAGCACAAGCATTCATGTTGGTCTCTGTATAGATACGGGTTTTCACTTCTTTTAAAATTCTCTTTTTAAATTACACTTACTTATTTAGTGTGTGGATGTGTTTGCACACACATGCACATGCCACAGAGAATGTGTAGAGGTTGGAGTACAACTTACTGGAGTTGGTTCTCTCCTATTGTTAGGTCCTGGGGATTGAACTCAGGTTCCAGGTTTGGTGGCAATCACCTTAACACACTGGGCCATCTTACCAGCCCAGAAATCAGTTCTTTTGAGTATATACCTAGGAGTGGAATCCTGGATCAGCTGGTAACTATGGTAGCATTTTGAGGGGCTGCCTAACTATTCTCCAGGGCAAGTGATACAATCTTACCTTGCCACCACAACCCATGAGGCCTCTTTCTAGTGTCTGCTCATCCTTGCCAACACTTGTTACTGTCTGTCTAATTTTAACCATGCTAGTGGAAGTGAAGTGGAATCTCATTGTGGTTTTGATTTGTATTTCTTTAATGAATAATGGTCTGTTGACTATGTGTATAAGAAACATTTATTCATATCCTCTGCCCACTTTTAAACTGGGCTAGATGTCATTTTATTGCAACACACACACACACACACACCAGCAACAACACAAACCAGCAAAGAGGCATCTAGAGCAAATGCTAATCCACTTCTGAACATGGAGTAGCCATTTCCAGATCAGCTACTTGGTGAAAACCCAGCATTCAGTGCACTGTGGGGCTGAACTGGCAAGCTTTGGTTAGGTACAGCAACACATTCTCAACTTACCTCCAACTCACAGTGTGTAAGTTGGTAAGCAACTGGTCTACACGAAAGGTGTCCTGCAGTCACGTCCTGAGGCCTGGTGTCCACAGGGAGTGAAGATGGCCACTGAAAGGGGGAAGAGCCACTTTGTTTTTGTAAAGCACTTTCCTTGCTATTGACCCAATAAGCAATTTTGCACAGGTGAGAGTTGCATGTCCTCAGTGATAGCAAGGCTGGCAGAGGACTTAGTGCAGCTGCTGAGCCAGCTGAGCTTTTCCTGTGCTCCCTTGTATTTCCATGATTAGCTCTATCTCCACCCTCGATTTCTTTCTGGGGACTCTGAAGCCACTTGTTCACCCTTGGGGCTGATTCAATGACAACTGTGTTGTCTGGGTCTCACATCTACCCAGTGGGGCTCCTGCCCTCTGCTTGCACCTCAGGCTGCATTGTGGGGCGCCTCACTGATCTTGGAGACACTGTACAGGGACATGGACTAAGGATGTACATCAGGATTGTACTACATGCTGTTAGCTTTTTTTTTTTGTTTAAAATGCAGTAGAAAAGGGATCCTAAGGCTGAGAGATGGCTCAGCAGTTAAGAGCACTGGCTATTCTTCCAGAGGACCCATGTTCAATTCCCAGCACCCACATGGCAACTGGCAACTGTCTGTAACTCCAGTTTCAGGGAACATGATGTATTGACACTGATATACATGCAAGCAAAACACCAATTCACAGAAAGAAAGAGGGAGAGGGAAAGGGAGAGGGAGAGGAAGAGAGAGAGAATCCTGTGTGGCAGTACACACCTTTAATCCAAGTACCCTAGGAGTCAAATGTATCTCTGTAAGTTTGAGGCCAGCCTGCTCTATAAAATGAGTTCCAGGACAGCCAGGGATACACAGTATCTCTGTCTGAAAAAGCAATTAGTAGAAAGAGACAAACAGACTTGGTTACTGCTCTGGAGATGTTTGTCCCAGGGACTAACAGGTGCTGGGCTGAGGACATGGTCACTAACGGCTACTACTCACAAACTTGGTTCCACACTTGACTGTGCTGAGGATCTCCCCAAAGCAATTGTTCTGAGAAAATTACTTCATGTACTGAGCAGCCCAAATGTGAGTGACCCTACACTGACCCTGGGTAGCAGCCTGGGCTTGTTCAAATGGTATTCAACGCTGTCCCTGTTCCTCCAGCACTTTTATTAGATGGAGCCTGAGACCCCACATCCTCTGAGTTCTGTTGGCCTGTCCAGATCATGTTTTGTGCAGAGCATGAACCCAAGGAAGAAGGATGGAGAGGTGGGGGTCTTCTTCCTCATTGTGGACTCTGCTTCTGTCACAGGCTGTGCTAGCTTGGCTCTGTACTTCCTGCCTTGCTGGTCTATACTGCCACTTTAGCATGCAGTGTTTGTCCACCTACTATGTGTTGCAGGCCATGCTGGGTGCTTACCTTTCAAGTTATCTTTTAAAAATCTCAGATCTTCAGAAGTTCAAGCTACATGAAATCCTTTCTCAAATAAACATCTGAGATTTAAGCCTGGTGTAGTGGTGCACACCTCTAATTCTAGCACCTGGAAGGCTGAGGTAGGAAGATCATAAATTGGAGGCCAGCCACATCTCAGAAGAAAACAAAAACATCCCTAAATTGCTTAATCTGGATTATTACTTGACAGGATTTAGGCTCATCTTGGAAACACACCTCTGAGGATGTTTCCATAAAGGTTTAACTGATCAGAGAAGACCCAACCTCAATGTGGACATCCCAGCCTCTTGGGCTGGACTCCTAGATCAAACAAAAAAGAGAATTCAAGCCCCAACTATTTATCTCCCTGTGCTTCCTGACGCAGAGACAATGTGACCAGCTGTGTTGCGAGTTGTTTTCCTGCCAGTCTGGTCCTAGAACCACATCAGTCCCAAATAACACACAGAGATGCTGTATTAGATATAAAGCTGTTGGCCTGTTACTAGTGTTTCTTATTGGCTAGCTCTGTTTTAAATATTAACCCATTTTTATTAATCTAAGTATTTCCACATGGTCTTATCTTACTGGAGAGAGGGTCCAGAGTTCTGCTCTCTTGGTCCTACATTTTGAATCTCCATTTTCTCTCCCTGATTCCTCCTTGTCTCCTAGTCCCACCTATCTTGCTTTCCTATTGGCCAACAGTGCTTTATTCATTAACTAATAAGAGAAACATATTTACAGAATGACATCTCCCATCACAGCTGCCTCAGGCTCCTGCCTCCAACCTTCCCCATGGTGATGGAGTGTGTCAAACCATGAACAAAAAGAAAACCTTCCTCCCTCAGAAAATGAAACAAAACAAACAAAAAATAAATCTGCCTTAGGTCTAGCTGAGCAGTCTTCAAGCTGGCTCGCCATCCTTTCTCAGTAGCTACAGTCAGGGGTGTCACCTTCGATAGCCCCTTTCATCATTGGGTTCAGCCTAGGTGTCATTCTCAGACCCTCTGTAGTTCCCAGGT